CCGCCTCTTGGCACCCGACCAGCAACCCCCAAACTGTTTTGATTATATACTTGAGAGTCAACGCGAGGGAAAATTGCTGGGGAGCTTTGAGGCTCCGGGCTTAGTCTAAATCAGGCAGAAAAAAGCAGCTATTGGCCATGGCAGGTGCTCCAGCGAGCAGCAGGGATGGTGCGAGAGGGCACGCATGCCCGACCGCCCCACAGGGAAATCGGGCATCCCTGTTCCAGGCTGCTCCGTGCCGGAGCCAGGAGCATTTCTTGCACATGGGCTTGCACCAGCTCACCCCAGAAACTCAGCCCGGGCTTGCTTTTTGGGCCAAAGGCTTCTGCAAAAGCACACGTTCCTGCCCAGGCTCCTTTCCCTGGGGTTAAATGCCTCCCCTGGAAACCCCTGGTGCATCTGCCGGCTGACGGTTGGATGGGCTGGACAAGCTCACGGCGCTGCTGAGGTTTTGGCAGCCCCGTAGCCTCTGCCCCAGCAAAGATGCTGTAGCACCAGTGAGGTCCCCAACAGACTCTTGTCTCTCTGCCTTTTGTAAAGCAGTGTCTTGGATACCTCGGCACAGCATGCCTCTCTGGTCCCCACGCCGTCCGATTTGCCCATTTTCCTACTGAGATGTATCCTACTAATTAGCCCAGCAACCCTTAATGAGCCAACTGAGCACCCTGCAGTTTTGGAAGTGATCGGAGGAACAGCCTGAGCACGGCGGCACCTCCTCGTTGCAGCCCGCGAGAGCTGGAGGTCCCTGTCCCCAGGTCCTTGTCGCCATTGCCGGGTCACTGTGGCTCCTGCCACGAAGGTGATGCTCTCCCAGGAGCCGCGTGGCGCGGGACCTCCCGACCTCTCCTCCCGCACCGATTATTGGAGATCTGCAGGGCAAAAAGCAATCCAGCTCCAGCCCCGGACTGGAGGGCAAGCAGAGTAACGATGGAGACACCGGGGGCCTTTCGTAAATGAGCTCTGAGCACGGGGAAGCACCGGCTCCGGCTGATGCTGAAGATCGTCTGAAGATGCTGCCGAAGAGCCACAGGAAGAAAACAAAAGCTTGGGTGAAGCAACGGGGAGGGCTCGGGAGCCCCTGGGGCGTTCAAACACGGCTGGGGAAGGAAGAGGGGAAACTGCTGCAAACTCAACAACAAAACTTGCTGCAAACCCAGCAACAAACCTTGTCTTTTCTGGGAGAGGGAAACCTCCCCGTCCAGAGCTGCCGTTTCCCACCTGTGCAGAGCCCTGTAGCATCTCCGCACTATTTGCAAAGGCTCCAAGAAAGGTGACTGAAAAGCACATGGATGTGAACGTACGACCTAAACCACCAGCCAAAGGGGGATGGAGGGATGGCAGGCGTCCGGTGGGGAAGCCCCAGCATGGAGAAGACCGAGGGGAAGAGTCAGTCCCCATCCACACCCTGCAGATACCCCATCCCTGGCCGTGTCAGTGCCCCGGCCCCCTCCACACCCCCCCAGCCCCTCCTTTTCCCCAGGGGCCACGTGAGGGTCCTGCCAGCCTTCCCCATCACCCAGTGCCTTCCAGCTATTTATCACTGCCTTGCAGGGGCAGTGGGTGGGAGGGAGGGAAAAGGCTGCTTCTGCCTTCTGCGCTGTGCAGCAGCCGGGTACAGATCTGCCCCTCCGCCCCTGCCGCCAGCCTTGGCGAGTCCCAAAGAGCCCGGTGCTGGATCCTGCCCTGAACGGGAAGATCCCAGGGGGTGACGCTCCAGATCCAGGCTCAGTGTTTACAGATTCCCAGAACAGTTTGAGAAATAAACTGTAAACGACCAAAAAAAAAGCAGTGTAAACCCCCCGGCAGCGGCGCTGGAAAAGGGAGCTGCGCTGCTGCCGGCTCCCGCGCAGGCACTGGCGTGCGGTGCCACGTCTCAGCATCGCGTCGTCCCCTCCGCAGAGGGGCCTCCCTTTTCTCAGTGTCACCTCCGCAAAATGGTCCGATTTCCTTTTGCTTTTGCATGTTGTAATTCACCCTTCGGGCATTGCTCAGCAGGAATTAAAAGTGTTGGTTTCTTTTCAGTCCAGCCTCTGTTTCCTTCGGCCAGGCTCACGGACGCCGTGTTTGTATTTCACTGCTTCAGAACCATCACACGAGGATTTTTTTTTTATCGCCATCTCAACGACCTTCCTCTTAAAGACTTGGGCATAGTATTTTATTTTTAGATAAGTTTCCACATCCCCTTCACAGTTAATGTTTATAGATGGAGGCTAAAACAGCCCAGTACCCATAGCAACCAGCAAGGAGAGGATACGTTGCATTATTCAGACAATTTATGTCAGAATTGCCGGCCCTGGCTCAAAGTCTCTGATGTAAATAAATTCAGGTTTGTTGATAGGTGAAATCAGTATTTACCGAAGAGACACGTGCTTGTTCAGGAAGGATTACTCTTAATGAGAACGTAGCGAAGGCTGTATTCGTGCCGTCTTGTTCCCAGTCTGGGGACCATGTATGCCTTTCCCTGTCCCCGCTGCGAGGCCGGAGGGACCCCAGTCGTACCGTTCCCATCCCCAGCCAGGATCAGCCCCCCCAGATGGGTGTCTGTCACCATAAACCCCAGTGACAGAGCTGCTTCCCCTCCCGTGCCCACGGCATCGCAAAAGTGCATCCCCTCCCGTGCCCACGGCATCGCAAAAGCGCAGGGGGTTTGGTGCTGCCACTGGGACCGGCTTTCCGGACTCCTTCCCCCTTGATCCGCCATTTCAAACCCAACCCTTCCCACTTCCCAGCCGCTCTGTGTCGGCTTTGCATTGCACAAGGGTTTTTCTGGGGCGATGCCAGATATATCCCCATTTTTAGTAACTCTTTCCGCAGCAGCCAGCACAGATTAATGTGTCGCTGCCTTCGCAGAACCGGTTCTGGCTGCCATAAAGCTGGAGTTTGACGTTTCAGAGGCGTCTGCTCTGTTCCCTAAAGCAAAACCCGAGGAGCTGGAAGGTGATGTTCAAGCCCATCTCGCGGGGTCCAAGCCTACCTTTCTCCCTGTGCGGGGGGGGGGGGGCAGGCCCTGGCAGTGCCGCGCCGCTCACCAGGGCTATGGAGAGGAGAACACAGAGAGAGCATTATTTACATCGCTTTATAGTATTTAACAGCGAGGGATGAGGGGACTCTCCCTGGTTATAAGGAAAAAATTTGATTCCTCTCCAATTACCTAATATTTCTAAGAATTTGAGATTACAGAGAGTGGGGGTGAAGCCTTCGGGCTGAGCACAAAGCATTGGTGGTGTCGGAGCTATTTCTCCCCTTCCCATCCCCAGGGCCAGTGCCTGGCTGCGGCTGGGCCGTATCCTGGCACTGGTGCGGGGATGGACCCCATGGCCTCCAGGTCAGGACGTGAGACTCCTGCTGCTTCCGAAGAAGAGACCTGCACCGTCGCAGCCCCAGGACCGGCCGGTTGCAGACCTGGCGCCGTGCGGGCACGAGCGGGTGCATCCCTCCGGCTCTCGGGGAGGCGTTGAGCACCAAGCGGGGTCCCTGGAAATGTGGTCGTGGGTCCGTTTTCGTAACTTCATGGCTTCCAAATCCAGCGTGGGGCTTGCTGGGCCCATCTGAGCTTGGCAGGGGGGTTTGTTTGCGGCCTTGGGAAATGCCGCACGTGAGGCTGTGTGCAGATGCCGTAGATAACGCCTCCCTTGATGTTTGGGACATTCCTCCAGAGCAAACACCGGGAAAGGAGAAACTAGTTAAATCACAACTCTTGCCTGGCAGGGACGGCCAGGTCACCAAGTCCATCGCACCACGCTGCCTCGGGACACCCCGTCCCGCCGCGCAGCCCCCGGCAGCGGCTGCGCCCACCCTCGCGCTCCACCCGGGTTTTCTCCGCGTGGCCGTTCGCGTGGCTCCCCCGCACGTGTCTCCCCTCCCTGAAACTGCGTGTGATTTTTTTTTGGGGGGGGGATGGGGGGATCACCCGTGCAAACCCAAAGGGCCGCAGCGACGGGCACGCGATGCAGGGCCAGCTCCACGCTTGTGGGATGCTCCATCCAGGGACAGTTTCGGCTGCAGACGGAGGCCGAATCCTGCGGTCCTTTCCCTGAAGGCAACGGGATGGCGGGGACATCCAGAACCGGGGACATGTCCCCAAAGGCCCTGCCCTCCGTTGTGACCACCCATAACCCCACGCCTGTGTTTGCGTTCGCCCAGCGAAACTGCACTGCCTTCACCCGGGGGAGGGATGGCCACTGGCCCTTACATGGCAAACAAACACGATTAGCCAGGAACGGAGAATAAACACGCGGTGCAATCGAGGCAGGCGATGGAGAAGTCACGAATTCCCCCGGGCTCCCTGCCAGGCCCAGCTTGCTGAGTCTGCACTTTTGCTCTTCGGGAAGATGGAGGGAAACTGCGGGGGGGGGGGGCTCAGGGCACCCGTCCCCAACGCGGTCGCGCCTCAGCACAGCCGGTCGGTGGGCAGGGGAGACAGGCTGGTCTGCCAGCGAGCGGGGTTTGATGCAAAAGCAAACGTGAGCTTTGAGCGCGGGCGGTACGGGGGCTTTCGGGGGCAGTTTGGGCACTGACTGCTTTATCGGGGACCCCTTAATCCAGAGAAGGCAGAAGGGGGACACGGCAGGACTTACCTTTACAGGGGAATAAACCAGTCTCCTCAGTCCCTGCTGCGTAGGGAAAGCAGTCTGGGCTTTACACGGTCACGAAGAAATGCAGTGGGGAGAAGGCCCTGGTGGGAAGCTATTTCCAGGTGGGAAACCACCAGTGCTGGAGCCCAAACAAATGCCTGGGGCAGGACCAGGATCCGTCCCGCCTCGGCAGAGCCGGGTTTGAGCCACGTGGGCACCGCCGGCAGGCTCCTGCTCTGGGGTCTGCGGATGCAGGCAGCCCCCATCTCGTGGGTGCCCAGGGGATGCTTCCAAATGACTCCCAGCGCCGGGAGAGCAGCAGCACCCCGTGCCCGACGTTCCCCCTGCCCTTCGCATCACCCCTGCCAGGGACAGCACGGAGACACCATCCAACCCACCCCGGCCCACCTCTGCCCTCCACCCCCGGGGCCTTTACGCATTGAGCTCCCACCATGTGCCAGAGGACAAGTTATGAGGCTGTTTTCTTTAATTTGCACACTAAAAAGCCGCCTCGGGACAGCCCGGTGAGGGGCCACACTGCACCGCATCCTCCTTGGATCTTATTTCAGAAAAAATTGTAGGAATGTGCTGCTTTTTCCATGTTGCATTGTCTTCGGAGGGGAACTGTTTACTGAGCACAGCTCCTCTCTGAATCAGGGTCGCAGGAGGGAGGCAGAGCAGCCGGAGCCCCCTGGGAAGGCGATGTCGGGGCTGGGCTCTGCCTGCAGTGCTGCTACGCTGCCGCACCAGGGCTCAGCATCTGCGGGAGCCTCAAGGGTCCTCGATTTGGGCACCGGCACCAAGCAGACCTCAGCCCTCATCCAGCTCAAACCCCTTTTTTCCCCAACGCCTCCACTCGCAGCCTCAAACCCTGCGCTGGCCTCAGCCCCCTCCGCCCCCCACAGCCGAAGCAGCGGGGGCAGATGTGGGACCTAGACACGAAACACCTCCAGGCTTTCAGCCCTCAGCACCGGCTGCGCATCCCTCTGCCAGCTCCAGCCCGTCGCTGCCCGGCCGGCTCCCTGCCTCCTCTTGGGCTTTTATTTTTGTCCTATAACCCTGGCAGCCGTCGCTATTTCCATGGGAACCCTCCTGAAATCCTGAAAACAACGCGTCCTCCGGGGTCACCGAGCCTCCCTCTCCCCTGTGCCCTATATTCCAAGCCCAGTGGCTGCCCATCTCCGGTTACAGGTGACATTTCTCTCTAATCCCAGGGAGGCTGCCGCTCTTCGGAAGGGAGCAGAAAGTGCCTGAGTTTGGGGACACGTCCAGGACACGCAAACGCCCTTGTCCGTGCCGGATGCTGGCAGGATGCTGCTGCCTCCGAGCGAACTGCGGGCGAGAGAATGGGATGAGATGGGATGGAAACCGGGAGCAGAGGATTCCCAGGGTGCCTCTGGCACGGGGAACCCCAGTTCTGCTCTGTATGGAGCTCTTGACGCAGCTGTGCCGCACGGTTATCGACGATGAGTTAATGTCACCTCGGTGCACTCGGAGGGGAGACGTTTCCATGGCGGGAGAGCGGGGCACCATCCCCGGGGCAGCTGGGCAGCAAAGCCAAGCCCCCTGCGGAGCGGTGCCACCGAAACCCCAGCTCTCGCCATATGCTCAGCCGTCCGACGCGTGTTTGCGCTGCCGGTAAGGAAAGCAGCGGCACCGAGTGATCCGCCAGAGCACGCCGCTTCCCCAGCTTTGCACCGCGATACGGGCATTCAGCCCCTGCCGTGGGTTTTTGGCAAGTTTATCGCAGCAAGCACACACCAAAGATGGGAGAAGGGGAGCAGACGCAGAAAGTCCAGAGACCACGACACGGCACGAGCCTGCTCCGGGAGCTGCATCGCGCCGGGTGTGGGGATGGTGTCTCCGAGGGAGCTCTCACTGCCCCTTGCCTGGATGACTCAAGGAATTGGGGATTTGAGAGATGTCTCAGGCTTTCAAATTCTCTGTTAATCAAATCCCAAATGCTAAAGGCAATCAAGAGACATGGGAAGCGTTGCTAAAGAAGTAAGGGGGGGGGGGAAGGAAATGAATAAACCCACCCCCCCGGTCCCCAGCGACAGAGCAGCCCGCTTCTGCATCATATCTCATCTGGGAAAAATTATATGTTGTGAATTACGTGCTTCTTTTGAAAAGCCTTAAAGGAGATTTAATAAAATGAGACAAGCTAATAATATAGGGAATGAATAGCAACCCTGGATGCTGCATTTTGATTTAATCAGATGCTTTTCCCCAGGGGAACAAGCAAGAGCTATAGCTAAAGCCTCCCTTCCCTACCCAGCTGCTCCCCTCTTCCTCCGGCCTCTCGCTCCTCCTGTCCCAGGGGAGCAGCCGGGGCAGGATCTGTGGTCCCACAAGACCCCGCTGTTCACCAGCAGCTGCTGGGAAACGCACAGCCCGTGCTGGTTATTTGTGAGCAGGCTAGTTAGAGCAGCATGCCGGGGTGCTGTACACCACACGGGGAGAGGGTCCCTGTCTGAAAAACAGGTCCCTGTCCTGGGGAAGAAAAGCAGGAACTGGGGAGCCAGGAAAGCCAGGCTTGGCTCCGTGTGCATACTTGCAAAGCCCCGGTCCGGAGCCAGGGAATGCCGCGTGCTGCTGTGCAGGGGACAAGCCCTCGGTAGGACGTGAAGCATCTTAACGGCAAAGATAAGGAGCTCCTGTTGGATGTGCTCCTCTCCGTGGCCCGGGAGAGGCCGTGGGGTCTGCGTGTGCCAGGGCGGGAAAAGCACAAACGGCTGTTCCGGTCTTGGCTTTTTCACTGCTTGGACCCACAGGACCCAGCGGTGAACCGAGGCCGGCTCGGCCCCGGGGTGACAATACTTCCCGGCTCCACAGCACGCTCAGAAATCAAAGTCATGTTCTGATGTAATTGTTCTTTTCCGAGTATCCCGCTGCTCTCCTGTCCCTGGGCCGGGCAGCACGGTGCATGCTCCTGCCTCCTGGTACATTTTGCTTCCTACATTTTTGCAGAGGCTGGTGCTGCTGCGAGCTCTATTTTGCTACTTGCACAGTTTGTCCAAGCCAGACCCTTGGGAGCCACATGTTCTGTCACCGGGATGTTTGTGTGACTTTCGTGGAATTTCCTTTCCTCAGTCACTTGCTCGCAGCCGCCAGGCGGGTTTTGTTCATTGGCGGGAGGCTGGTAAACCCAGGAGGGTGCAAACAGGGAGAGAAATAGCAAGAAACCAGGGAATGATCTGTGCTGAAGATGTTCGATTCTATTAAAGGTGTCTGCGGTGGCTGGGTTTCGTGCACAGCAGCCTGCCTGAGGCTCTTGCTGTACCAAGCAGCTGCGTGAACGAGCAAAGAGCCTGTATCCTCCAAAATCAGGCGAGGAGCAAAACACCCTCCAAATGGCAGGGTCAAACTCTGCGCAGGCGGTACGGCAGCTGTGGGAGAAAATGCTATTTTATCTGCCCCTGCTTAAGACTCGAGCTATTTGCAGTCAGGTCAGAAATGAGTGGTGATTTTTAACAGAGTCATAACCGTGGGAAGGCTTTGCCTTGCAGCGACGTGGATCCTTTCTCATCCCTCACTGGCAGCCAGCTCCCGGCAAATGTGCTCTGCTTCCACTAGGAGACGAGTTTCTAGATGATCTTGGGGGGACTCAGCCTAATGCCTCGTAATGTTCCTCTCCTTAGGCTCTGCGTGACTCTGTGAGGAGCTGGGCTCTGGGACAGCGCAGGCAGCGCCCACGTCCTCTCCCCGGGAGCTCCTGCAGCCATCAGCTCTCCTCTGCCCGCCTGGGATCCCTGCCCTTGCTCCCAGGGGGGTGGTGGGGGGTGTCCCCGGCAGGGTGGCTCCGGTTGCACCTCGCACCCCTGAGCCGAGGCTGCGGGATCCCGGCGGCACGTCTGCCTCATGGTGTGCTCTGCCTTTGCTGTCACCAAAGAGACTTTTAGAGGGAGCAAATGGATTTTCCGTTGCTGAAACCTGTTAACCTAAGAGTAGGCTTCGAGCAGGCTATTTCTACCCATTCCTGGCACTATTAATAGTCGTACGGTTAACAATAAATGCCAGTCGAGATATTCAGTTTGTCTGTCCCCCAGAGGTTGGCGCTTCCTATTCCCCCTGTTGTTTTCCATCAACCGCTTCAATTAAATGATCTTTTTGTTATTTTAGGGTGATAATTTGTGCTCTGTAATCGGCTGTCAAACCCCCTCGCTGTCTCGCACACAGATCAATAAACATGGGGAACTGTCCCACTTTCTCTCCCCAAAGTGTCCTTGTGCCTCTGCTGCCGGGCAGGGTGTTTCCCAGCAGGCAGGGATGGGGCTGCAAGGGGCCGTTTAAACCGCTGCTCCCTTCCAGCCCCACAGATGACTGCAATTCCGCCGTAAACCTTCGGACAGTGTTTAAATTAATGTCCAAGCGTGAGACCACACTCGGGGGAGATGAAAAGCAGCATCCGTTTCCCAAGCGGTGCTGGTGAAATGCACCATGCGCCACAAATTTGTGTGTTCTAGCTGTCCCTGAGGTCCCTCTCAGCGTTGTAGGTGAGGCTTCTGCTATCCTGAACCTTATTTAAACATCACCTTTCGCTGTTTTTTTCTCTAATAGATCCTCACAGGGGTTTTTTTTGATTCAAACTTTCTCATCAGCCTCGTGAAAGAGGAGCTTGGCTTTTCCTGGGCCCCGTCTCTCACTCATTGATGGCACAGAGATCCCTCAGCACAGCAACACTCCCATTTCCCCGAGGACTATTGCCCGGGTGCCGCTGCCTCAGGAAGATGCTGGTTCAGTCAAGCACGCTGCAGCCCCGCTGTGTCCGGGGCCTGGGGGGGGCTGCCTGGGCCGGCCCTTGCGTCCAGCGCCAGTGAGACCCAGCGACTCAGCACCCGCCAAGATCAGGCCCTCGATATGAAGCGGCACCACGCACCCTGCCCACCCCGGGAGCAACCCTGCTGCCTGCACTGCGCCTGCATCCCTCTGAGCATCCTTCCTCTTCCTCCTCCTTGCAGCGCTCCCCCCGCC